TTTTTTTTTTTTTATATTATTATTTATTTTTATTTTTATTTTGCAGGAAAAAAAAAATTTTGTCAATTGATGTAATTACTAAATATATAAATAATTGTTTGAACCACCGTGACAAAAAAGAAGAAAAAAGAAAAAGAGTGGAACAAAAAAAAAAAAGTGATACCAATCGAAAATTTTTTACTTGGTGATAAACATGCAAAGCATATGGGCTCGAAAAAAAAACATGACTAGTATAAATCTAGTTTAAATAAAAGCTCTCAAGTTAAAAAAACTCTCCGGCCAAAAAAGCCCAAAATATTATTTTAAGGCGTGGGATACTTCCGATCGTTCTCCAATAAAATTTCATTATTATATTATGATTCATTTTTTTACTCTCGTGGTAGTAGTTGATAGCATAGAAGGTCAAAGGGCGGGAAATTAACCAAATAACGTAATTATTATGTTTCTCCGACATACAGTGTTGCATAAATTTCACAGTTTGTTAATTGATATACACTAAGATTTTACAATTTAGGATTTAATTTGCCGCCTCTTTTCGTTTTTAGTCGTTAAATTTCTCTCATACTGTTGTGACAGATCAAATCAGACTTAATATCAAAATTTGTTGATTATTAACTAATAAAAATAATGAAATAAATAAAAAATTTAAAAAATTTATAAATATATTATGTGTATATATATATATATTTTATATACATACATACATACATATATATATATATTATATATATATATATATATGAATAGAATATTACGTTTGAAAAAAAAAAAAAAAGGTCACCGATTTGTTGTACGAGGACCAAAATAAAACTCCTCCAAAACAGACTAACGTGCCAAAAATACACGCACACACACTTTTCTCTTCATAACGGTTTTTTTTCGCGCACGCAACGAATAGTACCTAAAAACTTTATGATAAATGGGGAGCTTCATGTTCTAAAAAAAATATAAAAAAGCGTCCAGTTTTTTATGCCTTGTCTTTATTTCACTTTCATTTTGCAACAGCTTTGTATTTGCTGCGCTGCATAAACTAAAGAATAACTGTGGGTGGTCTGTGTGTTTCGCTTTGAACACCACCTCTGTTAACCTGTCGATAAGAAAAAATCTACAAAAATTTAAGAAAGATATTATCAGTTGAAACGATTTTAACGTAGAAACACACAACTACACACGAACGTTTATAAATTTTTAAAAAACACTGAAACGTTTTAATAAAACCACACACACTTTTTAAACTTTTTTTTCACACACACCTCTTTAAAAAATTTTCTCCTTTATCAACCTTATAAAAAGTTATTTTATATTTAAAAACTCTGTCTCATTCTTTATTAACCTTTTAAAATTTTATTGATCAATTTATTAAATAGTTACTTTATTATTATTATTATTATTATTATTTCTTGACTTTCAAAGAAAAGAAAGAAATCTTATTTTCTTTTTCTTTTTTTTTTCTTTTTTTTTGGCGAGACAAGAAATTTACGATTTTGATTTAACGAACTTAAAAGTTATATCATAAGGTTAACTTGTCATGACAACAACGGCCGAACGTATTCGAAACCCTTTGAATAATCATCATATGATGCCTTCACAATCAAACGATATGCTCAGTTACGAAGTTTATAATAATGATAATTCGCACGTTACGTGTTCTGAAGGAGAACCGTTATTTCAAGAAGAGACTGGAAAGTATGATCTAGATACCGTATCCGTTTTTGTCGCAAAATTATATCAGTAAGTTATTATATATGAATATATATATATATATATATTTTTTATAATTATTTTATTTATTATATTCATACTTATTTAGAAAATCATAAAATCATTGTGACTAAAAGTGTTGTATATTTGATTTTGTAAATTTTTAAAAACTTACTTTAATTATTGATCTTTAAAAATTAGACTTCTCGATTGTGATGATTATAAAGAATATCTTACGTGGAACGAAACAGGAGACGTGTTTGTAATTTGTAATATGGACGAATTCGCTCAAAACGTTTTACCGAAATATTTTAAACATTGTAAATTCACTTCATTCGTCCGACAGCTTAATGTAATTATATATATATTATTATTTTTTTTTTTTAATAATATATTATTGTACTATTAAATTTTTATTTATTTACACATGATAATTAATTATTATTCTTTTTTTTTTTTTTTTTTTTTTTTTTTTTTTTTTTTTTTTTTTTTTTTTTTAGATTTATGGATTTTATCGAGTTTCGGATGCTCGAAAATCAAAACACGTACGTAGTAAGCACGCTTGCGTATTTTCCCATTCTCAATTCAGACGTGGCCGACAAGATCTATTACCAAATATTCGTCGTAAAGTATCAAAGACAGTAAGACGAAAGCCAAGAAACACAGATTCTTCATTATCACAAAGTCATGTTGGTGATGGACCTTCATCTTCGCAGTCCATTTATGGTTCTAGTTCATTAATTAAAACCGGAAATATAAACAAAGATTTAAATCGACCGAGCAATTCGCTAAATGTCTATCAAGATTCAAAGGACTTTTTACTTACTTCTGATAGATCTGATAATGATGCTATTATGCGTGAAAGAATTGCTGATTTAACGGCAACGACAGAGAATTTACGAAAGGATTTAAAACAAATTAGTAGCATTGTAAATGACAATTTACTTCCGGAAGTTAGAAGCTTAGCTGAAGGCTTGCACAAGCATCAAGAACATTTATTAGCTTTAACACAATTAGTTACATGTGCTTTTCCGGATGGTAAAAATTAATATTTTTATATATATATATGTATATATTTATTTTTTTTTTTTTGTAATATTTTTTTTTAATTTTTGTTCTCTCTCCTTCTCCCTCTCTCTCTTTTATTTCTCTCTCTTTTTAGGTGTACAATTGCTACAAGATGTGACAAGAGGGTATACAAGACATATGCCATATGAAATACCAAAACGTATTCGTTTAGATGATAAACCTACCGTTAAAACAGAACAAACATCTTTATCATCATCAGTTCCAACAGTTCCCTCTTCAAGAGTTCCAACATCTTATTTATTCACGTCTAATTCATCTAATCATAATCCTAATAATAATAATAATTTAATGAACGGAAATAATCCTTCACCAACAGAATCGTCTCTTCAAACATCATCGGTTACTCCATCAGCTCTTACAATACCGTCTGATTCGCAATCCACGTATAGTAATATTACAGGATCATCGATAATGGGAGAATTTCAACAAAGTCCTCATAATACACAATCGAATATCACAGGGTTTAATGAATCATGGAATAATACTACATCCGTAATGATTTCGGATCCCGTCAGTACAGTTTCAAGTACAAATATGTCATATAATATATTCCCAACAACGACCACCACGCATTCACCAATATTATACTCACCTTCCCCGAATCAACAGCATTCTCCACCGTTATCACATAATTCACAAGTACCTTCTCGATCTTCTTCAATAGCTTTGAGTCCTGCACATTCGAATTCTAATGACATACTTAATAATGCACCTACTGTAACAAGTCCAACTCAAATTAATACAAGTGGTGCGAATAGTCCAGTTCATCAAGGAGAAGTTGTAGTTGCTTCTTCACCAACTTCAAATACATCCTCTCCAATATCGACCGTTCCAACTAGTTTGTCAACATTTTATCATCCAAATTCCATCATGCCAATGGATATGTATAGTCATCCATCTTTTAGTAATTATTAATTTAATCGGTTGAATTTGACAAGGTGATCTGTATATAATGTTGGATACGTTTATGTGGTGTCAAATTTAGGGTCGTTCCGACAAAAAGTGTAATAATAATTGGACATAGGCTATAAGAAAGCGAGGGCCTTTATCCCTCTGAAAGTATTGACGGGTCATATCGATCACATCGATCACATCGGTCACATCAGTCACTTCCCATTCTCTTCTAATTTCTAATCGTAATGTATTTTTTTTTTTTTAAAGAGGAAATTTTTTTTTAATTCATTTTATTTACCCCATTTATCATATATATATATATTTTTAGCGTGTGTGAACTAATTTTTTATGATAATGACTTGCAGAAGTTATGTTTTTCTGCGATTATGTTTTATTTTTCTTTCGAAAGAAGGCCATGACAAAAAAATTACCACATGTGTGTGTGTGCGCGGTTTTTTTTGTTATGAACTTTCTTTTTTTTTCTTGTACATACTGTACACTGTAAAAATTTCAATTTTTTTTATGGTGATTATTTACATCATCATAATTAATTCTTGTATTTTTTTTTTTTTTAAAAAAAATTTATCACCTTTATTATTATATCTCATAACGATTATATAAATATATATTACTATCTTTCATTTACTTATTCTATAGTATCATTTTACTTTACTCAATTATTTTATTTGTTTTCTCCTATATTTTTTTTTTTATATACTTATACATCATATATTAGGCTTTTTTATTATAAATCATTATATATTATCATACAAATAAATATTGGGTATTTTCTTTCCTTTTTTTCACGAATTCTTTTTTTATACATATTTTTATTTTACCTTTTATATATATAACTTATCCCTTATTATATATAGTATATATATTATTCATTTATATACGCGAGAATATATATAGTCACATCTAGTATGTAGTATATGCATATTATACGGAGGAGAAATGAGTAATGTAAATTGATATTCTATGAAAATGAAAAAAAAAAAAAAATTAATTAAATATATTCTATCTGTTAAATAATATTAAAAATTGTAATTCAAATTGAGTGATTGAAAAAGTGAAAAATGTTTGTATATACATACATACATAAAATACATACATTACATACACACATACAGTACATACATAAAGTATTATGCGGATATAAGATAATAAACCTTAGGATAATTAAATGCAAAGAGACATATTTCCGCATTTCTCGCATTCCATTCCTCGCATACTTTTTTTTTTTTTT